GGGGTTTAACCAAAAAAAATTTCCGCGAGACTCGAAACTACAATTTACGGGAATGGTGCCACTAATTTAACATTAATGCCACTAATTTGAAGTCTACTACGAGTCTACGATATTTTTAATATAGAACTAATAAAGATGGGATTTTATTGGAGTACCATGTGCAGTTCAGATTAAACTCAAGATCTAAATCCTAAGCACCCCGCGTACACGCCGGGGAACAAACTCACTCTCTCTTCACCGACCAAACCATAACCACCACCACCACCACCAGCAGTATGCGGTGGCCTGCGGTGGTGGAAGGCGGGGGCCTGGGGGTGGCAGCGATTGCGTACGTGGCCGTCGACTACCTGCGAAATGTCTCATCCACGTGGCACGAGCGTCTGCAACCTGTCCTTTGGTCCTTCCTAGCTATAATCGTCATCACGCGCGTGCCCTTCTACCGCCACTGGTCTTCCGAGCTCCGCGCTGCTCTTCCCTTTCTCGCTTCCATGGTCTTCATGCTCTCTACTCTCCTCTTCGAAGCCCTCTCCGTTCGCTCCGTCACCGCCGTCCTTGGCCTTGACTGGCACAGGTAATTTGCCCTGCATCTTTACTTTCATGTGGGTAATTTTTTTCAGTTTCACATTATGTCGGGTCAAGTCTGATGTAGTCACTTAGATAGTGGTCCAGATTATGATAAGAAGTTGCATCCGTACACTTTGGAAGTTAGGTTGGTTTCTTTATGATATTTCCTTTTTTATTCCTTGTTCTGGAGGTTGGTTCAGGATTGTCAAAAAGGGTTTAGATTTGATTTCAGTTTAATGATTCCTCTATTAGTTTCAGATTACTGTAATAAATGAAGTTTATTAATGTCAAAAATGTACCCATAAAAAGGATAACTTACTATGGTTAATGGCCCTGAAAGGCATGAATTTTATAGTTTTTGATTGTGCCTGCATCTGCCCATATTCATCATTCTTGGCCCGACAGCAATACACCATTAAGGAAACCAATGCATTATTAATTCCTTTAGCAATGCTTAGCAACCCCTCCACCTTGTGCAGTTGTGCCTGCTTACTAGCAAGGAGTAAAGAGATAGGAAGTGGATGTTGCTCTCTCATGTGTGTAGTCATTTAGAGCTTCTGTAATAGCACACACTAAGGACCAGTCTACATAATGGTTAAAAAGTTGGGAGATAGACATGGTTAGATGATATGGATCCTTAAGAATAATTTGAAGAAACCTGAGAACATTCTCTTTCATAGTTGGTTAATGCTTGATACATTTGAACTTTTTATCATTGATTTCTCTCTGAACAAGGATCAGTATTTTAGGATGATTATTTCAAAATTTATATGTGATGTAAACTTGAATTTAGCTAAAATTTAACCAGACCATTGATTGGCATTGGCTTGGTAATATTTAACAGCAATACACCTCCTCTTCCTGACCCTGGTCAGTGGTTGCTTTTGGCACTGAATGAGAAGCTTCCTGAAGCAGTTGTTGAGATACTGAGAGCACACATTATTGGATTGCATCATTACCTGATGTTGTTTATAATGCTGGCTTTCTCGGTACTATTTGACTCTGTAAAAGCTCCTGGTCTTGGGTTAGGTGCACGTTACATGTTTACCATGGCAATTGGGCGTCTTCTTCGGGCCATAACTTTTGTTTCTACCATTCTGCCATCAGCCCGACCGTGGTGTGCTTCAGCTCGGTTTAGGGTTCCTGAATATCCACATATTTGGGCTCAAAAATATTATGTCCCTTATGCTTCAGATGCTAATGCTATCCGTCAGATAATACAGGAAGATGTAGCATATGGTTTGTGGCTTGCTCTGTGTTTTTAAATTATGCTTCACTTGTCTGCTTGTTATTCTGGTTTTCTACATTTGGGATGTTTTTCTTGTGAGACTCAGACCCAAATATAGGATTGGTTTGGCAGCCCTGTGCTGTGTTGTAGCAACAGGTTTTTTAGCCTTTTTACTATCCAAGAATATATAAGATATTAATTAAAATTAGTGAAAATATATAAAAAAAATTACTTAAAAAAAATTATGAATTATAAATTTACATTTTTAAACAAGGTACTTTGTGAAAAAGCTCTGTTAGAAGCTCTGACAAATGAATACAAAGTATATCTGAGCTCATATTTGTGATGTAGTGATGTTTTTCAGTATTACTGGCCATCTCTTGACTTTTTTTTTAATTGAAGGTAAAGTTTTGACCATCAAATGTGTCTTTGCTAATTTCTTAATGGTTTTTTTTTTTTTTAATTAAATGTGGTACAAAAAACTGTTTATATTAAGCTGTGAAATTTCTTCACATTATTAACTCTTATTAAGCATTATCCAAAAGGAGGGCAAAGCATGATTTTGCTTGCTCTCAAAGAAACAATGACACCAGAAGAAGAAAGTAAATTAGTTAAGTGAATGACGTCTCAACTTTGTTCAAAGAACTAATAGTTTTAAATGTTAGCATCCCCTCCCTTTGTTATTATTATTATCTTCTTTTTTCTGATTAAAGTCACACCCTCTGTAGTAGGCTATAGAAACTTGCTTGGAATACCCCATGTTTTTATCATCAAATGTGGTTTCTGTATTGACTACCACAGAAGCTTTCTGGACGACCATGTGTGATTTGAACATATAAACATTTGAACCTCCTTGGTTTGGCGACCAAGGGACACTTCTACATACATTCTAGAGTTGTTTGGTGCTATGGAAGGTTCTAAGTTCACCATATGGGCTTGCACCACATCAAAAATGGTTAAAGTGCTATTCTTGGAAGTAGATATTCAACATTTCTGATTTTTATCATTGATTGCATTAGTGTGTTATTTGTCACCTATTAAAGCAATTTAACATTTGCTTAAAATTTGCCTGACTGCTTTGCTGTTTTGGGCATTACGTTGGTTGACAAACTCACATTTTTCTTTTCCAGCTGATATTGGAAACTACAATGTTGACTACCGTCCTGATTGGGGCTCTATGACTTTCCTTGCTGATTTCCTACGCCCCACTCCTTCAGAAGGATCCACCTGGTATGGTTTGCTAAAGAAAGCGGGGGGTGGCTGCAATGACCTTATATACAGTGGTCACATGCTTGTTGCTGTACTGACAGCCATGGCTTGGACGGTATTGTTTTTCTACTTTTGGACGCTTCCTTCTTCTAGTAGCTGTTGCTACATATTAAAATAACACTCATGTTGCCTTTTTCTGCATTATAATTTGCAGGAAGCTTATGGAGGTTTTAGCTCTGTCTTCATATGGTTGCTTGTGATGCACAGCGCCCAACGTGAAATACGGGAACGCCACCATTATACTGTAGACTGTGTTGTGGCCATCTATGTGGGTATTCTTTTGTGGAAGATGACAGGTTTTATTTGGTCGGCCAAAGACAAAAATAGAGAAAGCAGACTCAGTAAGCTTGACAAAATTCACAGTAGACTAGTCCAAGCTGCTAAAGACTCAGACATGGATGAAGTAAGGGACCTTCTCATAGATGTTGAGTTGAGCAGCCAAGAATACCAGAAAAAAGGCCCAAGCCGGGCTATGTGGCTGTTTGCTGGTGTGACCATTTTCTCATCACTCGTCATTGTTCTTCTGGCCTTCACCTGGACTAGTGATGGTTGACTACATTCATTCTTACGTTTGTTGTGTGTTGTGTGTTGTGTGTTGTGTGTTGTTGTTATACCACAAGCCTTTGAGGTTTTTTTTTAGCCATCACGAGTGTTAGACATAGAACTTATGGATGATGTAGTGTCTTTTGTTGCAAAAACTTATTAGCTCTAACTTGTTTGGAGCTTTTTCATGTTATTGATATGGGAATAGAAAGGTTTTGATGTGTTTAGACAAGATTGAAATAGCTGCTGGATTTTACATTTTCTGGTTTGTTTGTTTGTTTAAAATATGCTTAAGCAAAGCAAGCACACGGACGGTAAGAAAGTGGTGTTTGTGGGAGGAAAGGGTTAAGTGTATGAAACTAGATGGACTAAAGTGAATAAAATATAAGTCCTGGATTTTACATTTTTTTTTTATGGGAATGATTTTCAATATTTAAAAATTTTTAAATAACCGATTTTGAGATACTCATAAGTAGACCATCTTCACTCGGCAAATCTAATTAAACGTTTTTAAATGCTTTATTTTTGGTTTTTATATTTTCTATTATTTTTAAAATATATAAAATATTAAT